TTTTTGAGTTGTAAATTTTGTTTTATTAAATAAATTTGTTTGATTTTTTCATACATCGTTCATGTTTCCTCTTGATCGTATATCTTAAATTGGTCGCGTTTTTACGATCATTTCATTGACATTCGTTGCGCTAAGGTTATTTTGATTATATCGAGAGATATGGTCAAGAGAAGAGTTAGGAAGAGAGTTATTCTTCAACCGAGTCGAAAACCAACCCTCTAAATACATTTTCGAGTAGTACGATTTAATTTATTAGACTATTTCAAATGGTTGCTTCCAACTTCTTAGATTCGTTAACGAAATAACTGTTGGTGAGATGATTGTTGACAAAATGAATCAAACCCATATTAATATTTATTTCTACGTTATCAAATTCACGATTTTGATTGGTCAATCACCAAATTGCGTTGCGTGGGTTAAAATTTTGTGTTCCCAGAACGTCACTTGCACATCCTTGATTACAAAACTTGTTCAAAATAGCTTTAAAAGAAAAGATTTGTTTAATTTTTAATTGAAACGATTTGGGTTGTTTTTTAGTAAATTTACAAAGATTTCCTGATAACAATATTTTTTTTGTCCCATACTGTATATTAAACATGAAAGTAATCATCGAAAATCCAATTCAACCTTACAAAAGTATTTGACTAGCAAGAACTTGGAAAAGAATGAAATATCACTATCTTCAATGCAAATAGATGCTGTCTTCAACAATAAATGTATCACTTTACATTATCGATATAAACATAATGATAAGAGGAGATTTGTAGTAGGTTTTAAATGTAGCATCTAAAGGATATAGAAATACTATAATTAATGGCAAAATGATTTTTATTATAGTTTTTTCATTACAAGTGACGATTTAATTAATACTATTTACCAAGGTTTATTATATAAATTCCATCTATTTTTGTATATAAAAGTGATAATAACGCAAAGAATAAATTGATTGGTTCATAAATCAACTTTTGAAGACCGTGGAAATATAATTTATTTCACTTTATTATCCATGCTATAAAGAAATTGCTGCTATATGTACATTATTAATTATTAAAGTATAAAAAAATCACGGTATTAAAATGACAGTTAAAAAAATAGGAACTTTCTTTCAAAAAAAAACTTGGGCATACTTGATGGTTCTATGGCACGAGTTAAAATATTCATAGTAGCAAGATGTTGTGTTTTTTTGTTTTGTTTACTAGAGCTTTTTGACAATAAAAATTATGTTTAACTTGAATTTCAAATGATATTAAGTAATTGAGAAATTGAATCGGCCATTTCTATTTGAGGCAAAGTAGATGTTGAAGCTCTGAAACTTTTTAGAATAAAAGAGCAGTAGATTTTTTATTGTATAAAAAATAAACAATAAAACAAACTTTTTAGATCACGGGGCGTTAGTCACCATTTGACAAATCAGCTATGGGGACATAGATTATTTCACAGCTACGCCATGAAAATCATTGATCATCATGAAGCAACATTAAAAAAAAATAATAATAATAAATATTATAATAATATTATTAAAATACACACCAACCGATAACGCGTGCCAGATCCTATTCCTCAGTTGTATGTGGCTCTTCCGCAAATCCTGGCCATCCCAGCAAGTCTTCTCCCACAGTGTCACCTAGCAAATAGCAGGCCAGTTTTCTCACTGGACACGCTTAATAAAAGGTAGGAAAGATATCTATACTTTTAAGTGCATTCTACAGAATCGAAGTGGAGACAGTAAGGAGAAGTTTATGCAAGATATGATTCCTTGTCGTGCGTGATAATAAACAAACAATTGGTATATTGGTTAAATAATAATAAATATTATAATAATATTATTAAAATATATTCCAACAGATAACGCGTTCCAAATCCTATGCCTCAGTTGCTACGTGACTCTTCAGCAAATCTTGACCACCCAGCAAGTCTTCTTCCACGGTATCTCTCAGCAAATAGCAGTTAGTTGCCTCACTGGATACACTTAATAAAAGGTAGGATATCTACACTTTCTGCAGAGTCAGGGTGGTTGCAGTAAGGAGAAGCTTATTCAAGTACTCTCCTTGTTGCGCGTGATAATAAACAAACGATTGATATATTTGTTTTGCGTGAACATTCATTATTATCATTAAAATAATTATAATACAACAACATAATCATAAAGATATATATATATACACATACATATAGGAACCTGCTATTGGATAACCTGGGAACACTCAAAAACGATTTGATAACAGTTATTCACATCTTCCTTGCGAAAAAGGCTAATCTGACCTGATCCCCCGATGATATAAAAATGGAACTAAACTTCGGGGAGGGGTAACGACGCTCTGAAGTTTATGAATCACATTGTGTCAAGCCTCTTGCTTGTCCGAAGCCTCCCAACTTGTTCAATTGCCTTGCCTGTAGAAAAAAATAGAATTCTACAGTTATGAGGTTTGCAATCGCATGACGCTTGCTTGTTGGTGAGAGGAAAATTTCATTAAATCTGACACCCATAATCAGGGTTGGCCTTGGCTGTCTACCACACGTGTAGGATCAACATCGACGTTCCTACCACCTCAACCTCAATCACCAACCCAATCAAATTAACCACCATTTAAATCTCCAACATCAAGAACACCAAGCCACAATACAGATTGACATGTTCAATGCCAACCCTGTTTATAATAAACGTCAGATTTATGATTTGGAAATTATTTTTAAAAAAGCTTTACAACTTGTAATTGTGTGCAATTGGAAAGCGCACATACACAAGAAAAGGGAACCAAGTAGAGGAAAAAGATTTGTTTATTTCCAACTCTATCAAATTCCCCGTCTTCTACCCGCCAGGAATGACATCATTATGTGGCTTTTTTAAAATCACTGCATGGTCTTGGTATTATCATTACCCGGGTGATGCAATTGTATGTTGTACCAAAAATGTATTTTTGTTTCAACCAAAAGAAAAATACTTTATATATAACGTATGTGCTGTATATAATAATGGGCTTAGCAAAATCGGCGGGGAAAGAAGATCCTGTTGGACTTGACTCTGGTTTGAATTGGGAAAAAGACATATCAAGGTAAGTGGAGGTGATTCAGCACAAATGGTGAAATACCACACACAACCCCTTATCGTTTTTTTTTACCGAGTGTGGTGGGAAAATTAGAACATATGAACCAATCTAACATTAAACCCAAGAATTATAGTACTACTAGATGCATTTTGAAAAAGCAACAATGTGAGAAATTGCTCTTTATGTTTTTAAAATAAATGATACTCGGGCACCCGAGAATTATTTAAGGAAAGATGAAGCTACTAAAAGAAAGAAAGTAATAAGCACTAGGAAAAGAAAGTGAGGTGAACAACTATGTACTTTTAGCAATATAAATAATAATAGTTATATTAAAGTTATGACTGCCAATCAAATCAAATAGGCTTATTATCAACTTTTCTCTTTGTATGTATATGCACGTTTTAAGATATAGTTCTTATATTCTTCTTGCTTTGGAAAAGTATTCATATTTTAGATCATTAGCTACGATAGTTTGACATAGTAAATATTTGGTCCTTGTAGATGGAGAATAGTTTTATAAACAAACAAATCAATTATCCCGCTGAAGATACTTTTTCCACATTATCATCAATAAAAATATCCAAACCAGAATGAAAATACTTGACCCATTCATATTTGGTAAGTTGCAGAATTTTTTCTTGTTTCGATGAAATTGACATTGCCCACCCTACTACATGTAAAAAGACAAAATAGGAAATTTTAATTAATATTGAGAAGTTTTTATTTTCAAACAAAATAATTAATATTGTGTGGTTTCTTAAATTCGTTTTCAAACAAAATTATAATAATTAATAATGAGAGGTTTTATTTTTCGTTATATTGTTTAAATTGTTTTAACATACATTAAGTTTTATGCGTGTAACATAATTTTAAAGTAAAAAAACTATTATTATTCAATTAAAGTGGGGGGATATGTCGATATGTAACACATACCATAACTTTACAGATACAGTCAGACCTCCATAAGGTCACACCCTCAGGACCCACAAAAACCTGTGACTGAGAGATGTGTGACCTTATGGAGGATCTGATCTCATATTACATTTATTATCTGTTGTTATAAAGACGATTACAAAAATAATTAGCATCATTTTGTTAATATTCAAGGTATGTATATATTTATAATAATTGTATATTATATATTGAATATATCGCATATCTAATAAAAAAATTTCTAGTATAATTTCTTTTTGGAGTTTTTCCCGAGACACATTTATATTGGAACATCTGGTGGTATTGGTTTTTACTTGGTGATGAATTTTTCAATTCGACTGTCTGTGAGGTCTCTTGGTTTCGGGAAATTGAAAAAGATTTTCTTGCATGTGAATAATTTTTTGCTGTGGAGTTTAGCGTTTTTTTCAGGATTCTGACTCTTGGTCATTATTAGATGCAAGACTTTTTTATTGTTCAAAATAGCTATGAAAGGTATTTGTGCTTCCTTATCATTGATTTGATGTGGCTCTTCATCACTATCTGGTTCATCATTATTAGTGGTGACCATTTGGACTATTTGTTCTTCTGTAAGTAATTCGTTTGTAGATGGATTTTGAGTATGATTTAAATAGTCATGTAATTCAAGAATTATAACACTATCAATCTCATTTTCATAAACCTCATAAGGTTTAATCCAGGGAAATGGGGTCAAGACCCCTGGGAAAAGAGGAATGGATCTCGTGAGGTGTATTTACTACCAGATAATATAATATTCTGGTCCATCTGATTCAAATTCAAACCCATTTGTCAAAGTGCCTTTGCCTTATTTTCCCATTTTTTATGTTTTTCTTTTTGCTTTCCATGCTTAGCTTTACTTTTGGCATATTTGCGTTGTCATTCTTGTAGTTAGTTGCCCAGTGTCGTAGTTATGGATAGGCATGATCTAGATCGTTGTAAGCATACTTTGTGACTGAAGTGGAGCCAATTGATTATTTTCTCGTTGAGCAATATCACAGAGCCTATGTGCAGAATCAGTAATTCTATTAAGTTTACCTACAGCATCTCTTGAGTTTCTAGATCTCTGAATTATATATAAACTATGTCATCGATCTCATTCTGATTAGGATGTTGTTATGTTTTACATTGATTAATCATTTTTGCTTTATTAATGAAAATCTTATCTTCCAATCAAAAAAAAAATTAATTTATTGAAAATTCGATTAGTCTACCACATATTAATTACATTTCATAAATTCTTTTTCGGTAAATCAAAAAAAATCCAGAGATCTATTAAACAATTATATAAAAAACTTCCTCTGAAACAAAATAAAAATTCAGGGAGAAACGCGTATAAAAACAATGCAAAGCGATGCACTTTCATAGAAACTGAATAATTCCCGTACAACGTAAAATTGCTAAAAATTGAAAATTCGGTAATTAATATTAATTAGAAAATTAGAAAGAGATGTGGTGGTGATACGGTTAATGATCTACATATAATTTATATTAATATCAGACAGGTCTTTCGCCCATTTTTCCTCCTCTAATTAATTAAATAATAAATAATTATGACCGAAGGAAATAATATAACGAGCTTTCAAGAAATTTATTCTATGCCATTTGATACAGGTAAATGGGATTATGATCAATTCAATAATCCAAATAAATTCCAATGGATAATTGGCACCACGCCATTTTCAAACTGGCAGGTATATTTAATATAAATATTAAAATGATCATTGTTACTTTATGGTTTTTTTTTTTTAATCAAAATGATCAATTGATTTATTAATGTTAATCTCTTTAGTTTGTAGTTGGATCATGGGGAGTTTATTTTTCAACTATAATTGGTTTAAAGGTGAATTAAAATGTCAAGCTTTAAAATTTTTTTAAAACTAGCAAAATAACAATCGTAATAATAATTGTAATCATAATCATATGTATCGTTATGATACTGAAGACTTTGATGTCATCATCATCTCCATTCTCTTTACGTAATATAACAGCATTACATAATTTAGTTTTATGTCTATTATCTGCTTTTATGTTTGTTGGTGCTGCTTTTGATTTTATTAACAGATGGAAGGTGCGATTTATTCATGGTTTTATTTTTCTAAATTAAAACTTTCAATAATGAAATTTTATTTTTTGACATTTTTTTGATATT